CTTTCAGAACGTCTCCAAGATCGTTGTTTCTCTTCAGGTAGGTAAATGTTATGATAAGATGCCGCTCCAGGATTTTTCTTTATCCATGCATCACAGACTAAGAGAAGACTCCAGTTTTTCTTAAAGATAGGAAAGGGAGAAAAATAAGTAGAGCATTGTCTCCCTGGTGGCTTAGGTGTAGCGACTACTCCCTTATGTCTGTTCCCTCGCGCAATCCGTGTTTGTTAGGACATGTACTTTCCATCACTCTCACAACTACTTAATTCATTTTTCTTTTTGTTGTTGAATTCTTCTCTTCAGGCACGTGCTAGAACTACGTTAGCACGCCGTAGATTTCGAGCCATGAAAGAATCCGCTGTCGTTATTCAGTCTGTTTACCGTAGTTACATGGTTCGTAAACAGATTCAAGCTCTAGTCAGAAGTGTCTTGGAACAGAGAAGGTTTTTACAGGTTAAAAACGCTTCTGTATTGATCCAAAAGACCTACAAAGCGACATTGTTGGGAAGAAAAGAAAGGCAGCGCTTCCTTCATCTCAGGAAATGCGCGGTTACACTACAGTCGTGCTACAGAGGCCAGCGTGATCGACGACTCGTGAAGCAAATTCGCGCGGCTGTCAAGATTCAAAGCCACGTTCGTGCGTGGCGAATGCACTCGAAGTTTCTACGTCTCAAACGAGTTACTACCAAAATACAAGCTTGCGCTAGAAGGCATCAAGCACAGAGGAGGTTTGCCGAGGTAAAAGAAGCTGTGCGAGTTCTACAGGTCTATTTCAGAGCTATTCTTCTAGGCCGACGGCAGAAGAGAGAGTACGAAACTCATAGGGCCGCCTGTGTCAAGATTCAGTCACTGGTGAGATGTCAGATTGAAAGAAGAGTTTTCTTACAAAACAGACAAGCGGCGGTCAGATTGCAGTCCTTTACTAGAATGTGTCTGGCACGGAAGAGATACCAGAGACTTTACACAGCCACGTTGTTGATTCAAAGAAGGTTTAAGGAATTGCTTTGCGCGAGAAACGCTCAGAGAAACTTTCAAATCATGAAACTATCCGCTATAAAGATCCAGTCGTGTTATCGAGGCTACAGATGTCGTGAGCAGTTTACACTAATTAAACAGGCCACCATTATGGTTCAATCCCATGTGCGTTGTTTCTTAAGCAGAAAGAAGTTCTTGGCTTTAAAACGTGCTTCAACTATCATCCAAACTCGCTATCGTGCCCTGCTGCTTGGGCGTCAACAGAGGCAGAAATATCAACACACCCATCATGCCATTGTTCGACTACAGGCAATGGTCAGAGGGAAGCTTGCGCGTGAAAATCTACTCAAGCAGCAAAGATCAGCAGAAGTGATTCAAACGAAGTACCGGCAGTACTCCGCCGGAAAAAGATATCGTCAGCTGAAGAGCTCAACCGTGGCGATGCAGCGGCGTTTCCGCTCCGTCTTGCTGACGCGTAAACACGTTTGGCGTTACCAGCAGATGCGAACATCCGCCCAGTTTATTCAAGCACGCTACAGAGGGCATCTCGCAAGAAAGTTCTATAAGATGCTAAAAGCTACAGTTGTGTTGCAGTCTGCAGTTCGTGGTTGGGGAGTAAGAAAGGATATCAAACAGCAGAATATGGCTGCATTAGCGATCCAGGGATTCTATAGATGTCATGTGTACCGTAAGAAGTACCTGGCAATAAGAAAGGCTACTATTGTTTTGCAGAATCAGTATCGTTTGGTTTCTTTGGGACGTAAAACCCGCTGTGACTTCCAGCGAATTAGGCTTGCGGCGATAAAAATCCAGTCATCATTTCGTGGCTGCCAAGTAAGGAAGCAAGTTCTACTTCTCACAAGTGCGAGGAAAATACAGGCATTTTATCGAGGTTATGTCGCTCGAAAATCCTACAACATTTCTCGCAATTCCATCATTATAGCTCAGGGAGTTGTACGTGGTTATTTGGCGCGGAAACATTACTCCAGTCTCAGGAATGCCACTATCCTTCTCCAGAGACGGTACCGTGCCCGCGTGATTGGCATGCAGCAGTACTTACACTATCACGTGCAACGTGGTGCATGCATTCTCTTACAAGCAGCGGTGCGTGGTTACGTGTATCGTAAACGGTACCAAGAGATGAGAAACGCTGCAATAATCTTTCAACAGAGGTACAGGGCTATGACTGCGTGCAGAAATCAGCATACCCGCTTTCTAGCTGTGAAAACCGCTGCCATTTGTATCCAGGCCTGTGTGCGTGGTTGGATTGACCGAAAACGGGTAACCGAACTACGAGCGGTGCACGCTATTCAGGCTACGTTCAGGATGTACAAAGTCAGGAAGGAGTACGTGGCACTCAGAAGAGCTGTGGTGCAAATACAGGCTCAAACACGCATGATCCAACAGCGACGACAATTCAACAGTCTCAAGAAGGCGGCGCTTGTTGTCCAGCGGAGGTTCAGAGCGACAGTCCTTTGCAAGCATGACCAGTTGGTGTATCACTTCATCCGGGGTGCGGTTATTACAATTCAAATGGTTTTCAGGGGGCACTTGGTGCGAAAGAGACTGCGTAGAATGAATGAGGCCGCTGTTAAGATTCAAGCTTACACTCGTAGGCTCCTGGCGAGGAAGAAATATCAAGCTACCAAGAAAGCTACACTCGTTTTACAACTAAGATGCCGTGCCTGGTTGCTTGGGCGAGCGGTGGCCCGTAACTACAATGCATGGAAGTCTGGTGCGCTTGTAATCCAAGCAAGTTATCGAAGGTACAAGAAACGCATGGAAATGAAACGTAATCAAGCAGCTACCAAGATCCAATGCGCTTTCCGTCGTCATACTTGTCGCTTTAAATTTCTGTCCCAGAAATCCGCTGCGGTCGTCATCCAGGCAGCTTTTAGGTGTTATGTTACTCGACGATTCTATCTAAATCTGCGCTGCGCCTCAACAGTTATTCAGCAACGGTACCGAGCAGTCAAAAAGATGAAGGATGTGCGTCAGCATTATATTGCACAGCGGAAAGCTTTTATAGCGCTCCAGGCCAGAGTTAAGGGTTGGCTTTGTAGACGACATTATAACTCGATCAGGATAGCGGCCATCACTATTCAGACGCGCCATCGGGCTGGCATCAAGGCTCGTGAACACAGAAAAGACTTCTTAGAGTTAAAGAATGCTACTGTCATTTTGCAGTCTCACTGGAGAATGGTCTCGGCACGTAGAAACTATGAAAAACTCAGAAACGCAGTGATTAAAATACAGTCAGTGGTACGCATGAGGAAGGAAGCAGTGTTTTACGGAAAACTCAGGAATGCCACCTTGACGTTGCAGAAGAGATGCAGAGCCAATCAACTTTGCAAACAACAGCTTGAGCGCTACCAATCCATGCGTAAAAGCGCTGTTATAATACAGTCACAGTTCCGTGGCTTCAAAGCAAGAAAATGCGTTCAAAAGATGGTAGCCGAGAAGCAGAGACGTCAACAAGCAGCATTCAAGATTCAGCGGTATTATCGAGGATATCGCCTTATGAAGGAAACCTACTTTGCCTATCACGTGACTCGCGGNGCAACGGTACCGAGCAGTCAAAAAGATGAAGGACGTGCGTCAGCATTATATTGCACAGCGGAAAGCTTTTATAGCGCTCCAGGCCAGAGTTAAGGGTTGGCTTTGTAGACGACATTATAACTCGATCAGGATAGCGGCCATCGCTATTCAGACGCGCCATCGAGCTGGCATCAAGGCCCGTGAACACAGAAAAGACTTCTTAGAGTTAAAGAATGCTACTGTCATTTTGCAGTCTCACTGGAGAATGGTCTCGGCACGTAGAAACTATGAAAAACTCAGAAACGCAGTGCTTAAAATACAGTCAGTGGTACGCATGAGGAAGGAAGCAGTGTTTTACGGAAAACTCAGGAATGCCACCTTGACGTTGCAGAAGAGATGCAGAGCCAATCAACTTTGCAAACAACAGCTTGAGCGCTACCAATCCATGCGTAAAAGCGCTGTTATAATACAGTCACAGTTCCGTGGCTTCAAAGCAAGAAAATGCGTTCAAAAGATGGTAGCCGAGAAGCAGAGACGTCAACAAGCAGCATTCAAGATTCAGCGGTATTATCGAGGATATCGCCTTATGAAGGAAACCTACTTTGCCTATCACGTGACTCGCGGAGCAATTATTACCTTGCAGGCGGCATGCCGCATGTATGCAGCACGAACATTCGTCCGCAAGCTTCGAGCTGTTATCACGATGCAGGCTGTATGCCGTGGGAAAATTCAGCGGCAAAAGTTCCTGACGATGAGAAAAAGGATTTGCAAAGTTCAAGCCACAGTACGCCGCAATCAAGCCAGAACAAGACTTGAGAGAACGCGAAAAGCGGTTGTTGCAATTCAGCGGTGGTACAGAGCTCAAATAGTCATGAAGAAAACCTATAAAGAGTATCATGATCTCAGGGATGCTACAGTCTTGATCCAGTCTCATTTCAGACGTCACAGTCAGCGACAGACTTATCTTTATGAAAAGCAAATGGTAGTCGTTACACAATCTCTATTGCGGATGCATCTCGAAAGGAATCGATTTCTTCAAAAGCGTTCGGCGGCCATCGTAATTCAACGTCACTATCGCTTGTGGATCTTTGGGAAGGAGATTCGCCATAGATACCTGATGATGCTATCGGCAATTATCACGATGCAGGTATTACTGAAATGCCATGTCTTTCTCGGGATATGTCCATACGATTCTGTTTAATTGTAGTAACGCTTAGAAAATTGTGCGTTGAGGTCTCGTAAACAGATATTTTCGTTTACAGTCTCCAGAGTGTGAACGTTCCTAAAAGGGTTACCATCGTTCCCCTGAGAAAAGTTTTGAACGCGCAAATTTGTATGTGTTACAGGCTTTACAGATTCGCGGGGACATAATCTAAGGGCGTTTACCATGAATCATAACTGACTGGCCAGACCAGTTCAGTCGTAAAGAGAATAAGATCACATTAATCAGAAAATGTCCTATCAGCTCTGTCTATTCCTTATTATTAGCGAAAATTCTTGTAAGAGCCTTATTTCATTTCCAAAATGACTAGAAAGCCCAGCCGGCGATTCCTGACTTTTATTAAAGTGCCCTTAAACTAAATTGGTTTTGAGAAGAAAAGGACGTAGGTTGTCATCAGCTTTTGAGTGATCGTCTAATATAATTTCATTCTTTATTCAAACTTTCAAACGTGTTAGGATATCTTCAATACTGGTATCCAATGTTAGCTTGTTTCAGGCCGGTCCATTTTTGCTAGGGAAAAAACGACTTCGTTATATGTCATTATAGTCATTCTTCTTATCGTTTTCATATGATCGCATTATACAATTATCTTCGCACGTGTCATCATCATCTCAGTTATCGATTTACTGTGCCACTGTGCCTTACCCTGGAGCCGATTGGATCTCTTACCCCCGCCCCCCTCCCCCAATCGGCGTCAGGTGAACGGTGCTTTGGTTCATCTGAAGGTTTTTCTTTTCTTTTTTCTCTATTGTACTTTACAGAGCTTTTTCCGAGGTTGGAAAACAAGACGTGAATTAACCAGACTAAAATCCGCCGTATTCATCCAATCCAACATTCGAGGATGGATGGAGAGACGAAAATATCACCGCACAAGACAGCTCGTCATCGGCTTGCAGGCTACAACAAGAGCGTGGCTTTGTCAGAAAAATTATCGTCAACTCAAAGACGCTACGGTTCTTCTGCAAAGAAGAGTTCGCGGAAACAACGCTGCTACAAAGGCCAGGCAAGAATATCTGGCAACAAAGCGCGCAGCCGTTGCACTTCAATCCTTTTATCGCGGATGGCAGGTTCGCCGTTACGTCGTTAAGCTTAAAGCGGTGATTCTGATCCAGTGTTGGTTCCGCGCCACTACTGCAGCAAGAAAGGCTAGGGAAGAATACAAAGCGCTCAAAGAGGCTTCCCTTGTTTTGCAAGCCGCTTACCGCGGATTCTGTGGGCGGATGTTCACTCGTCAGCTACGTGCAGCTCGCACTATCCAGGCTGTGGTCAGAGGATTCCTCATCAGAAGAAGGATTGAAGTAAGAATTAAATCTGCGTAGTGTGGGGATGTGATTATATCTCACTGACTTGTATTAAGTGCTTCAGTTGAATTCGGCGGCTTGGAATCTTTCATAAACAAATTAAAATGAACTGCTTTTTCTGGGCTTTCTAAACCCTAGATGCCGCGCAGCAGTTGCTTAGCGCCTTTTAATATTTGATCTTTCACAAGGATTTATACGACAGAAAATAAAAGTTTGCCTTTCATGGAAACATGCATCAAACATAAGATGGCATCGGTCCTTCTCATGGTTGCCACAGATACGCCGAGAAAATTTGCATTAAAAAACATAAAAACAAAAAAAACAGAGAAATTGAAAACACGGATCTGTTTTTCAGCCAAAAAGTCGGGTCACTGTACGTCGTGTTTTGTTGGAATTTTATTGAAAAGCACTTTTCTTTACTGAACTGGTCGTAGAAATAATACAGGTGCTGTTTCTGAGCCATGTATTTGCACTAATAACTAAAAAAAAAAAACAATGATTTTTTCCGTCCTAGCGACAAAAAGCAGAGCGTCTTATTCATTTGAAACAGTTTGCTTCAGCCGTGTACCATCATATGAGTGCCATGAAAATCCAGCGGTGTTACCGCAGATCACGTGCTATGGCTTTGGCAAAGGCCCGGATGGATTCTGTGCTTCTTATACAGGTATATACATGATATACGTGTCACATTGTATGTTTGTTTTTGCTATTTAATTAGTGGATTACACAAAATTTCCTTAGCATGATGAGTTTATAAACTGAGAGTATCTTCTCATTTGCTGGGTTGGTAAAATTGGGTTCTTTCGTAATGGTGTGGTCCAATAAATCTTTTCTTCTTTGGGCCAAGTTTTTTCCATTGTCTTTCCAACAATTGAATGAGAACTTTTCAAATGTATCTTTCCACAACAAAAGTTTGTTAGGGTTATAAAGGAAAAACTCTGGATAGATATCTCACTGCTTATTCAGTTGAAAAACCCTCCTGCGTAAACACTCAGCGATCCAACTTGATTTTAAGGGAGAAAGATGTGCTACAAAGCGAAGTCAAATCAGGTGAATCGAAGGAGTGGAAAAAATACATCACCTAAACGATAGCCTATGCATATTTTGCAAGCTTCCCAAAACTGAAGTAAATGAACTCTTCTACTTTCCAATCAGAATTTCCCGTTTCCTGTGTAAATGGTATACGGTAGCCTCGGTGACTTTCTGTTCTGAGATTGTGACGTCATCCGACCTTGAATTTGAGCTCTCAGCGTTGTTTAAAGGCGCTGACTGCGTCGACCACTGAGTCAACTTGCTTTCTTAGTACTGTATAACTATTATGGGTCGACATTCTCTCTACAAATTTTAAACGTTGGTCGTGTTCTATCCAAACAGTATTGGTGGCAGGGTGTTATGGAACGAAAGCGATTTGTTAAGCTCAGCGCAACTGCTGTCTTCCTCCAAAGAGCAGCTCGAAGGATACTGGAGACGAAAAATAGAAATGCTGTTAGGATCCAGGCCCTAGTCCGAGGTGCTATAACCAGGAAACACTTGAAAAAGATCCATCAGTCTGCGCTACAAATTCAGGTCAGTGGGGAACAGTGTTCGGTTATAAGTCCCGAAAGTCTCCTTCTTATGATCATGTGATCGTATTTTTGAGATGTGTTAGTGATTTAACATCGCGCAATAACAATAGACCGGCTAAGAAGATTTGAATTCTCTGGAAATGTGCAATACATTATTTTGCAGATCCAAAGAAGCCAACGACCGAAAAAACCGAAATTGACCGACAGATAGTATGATTGAGTATGCACTGAAAAGCTTGATTGGCGATAATTCAGTGGAAACTGTTACGTATTCCCTTGGCAGGTGAATAAAAAGTATAAAAAAAATTGCCCGTTCCTTCGGTCCAGTGCAGAGTCGATGAGCAGTCATTAACTTAACTGAAATTTTTGTTTATCTTCCTTGTCTTTTATGATTCTTATTTTGTAAATCATATTCAGGTTGCGCGCACGAGTGTTGCAGATAAAAATGACGAAGTCTTACTGCACTTTTCAAAAACACGTTCTGAAATTCAAAAGCCGCCTTCACGATTGCGTTTTTCGCTACCGTCAATTATAGTTACGATCTCAAGCAATGAACCTTGAAACACAAAAACAAACAAAACGGATTTAAATCCACAAATCATAAACCATGACTTTTTGAACCCATTGAAGTAAACTTTGTTTCATAAGAGGTCCGCTGGGATGATTGACGGCAGTGAAAAACGCAAAAGTCAGTTGGCTTTTGTACTTCCGAATTCGCGTGGTTTTGAAAAGCGCAGTAAAGATGTCTTTTCGGATCTCTAGGCCTTCTGGCGTGGTTACCGAGTCAGAGTTGAAGTGTCCTCTCTCAAGGTAAAAAGAGCGCGCAAGCGCATCGAGTCTGCCAATGCTGCAGCAACGGAGTCAATGAAGCTTTGTAACCGCACAAGGTCTGCTCTAGACTTTCTGCTTCAATGTAAGAATATCAGCAGGATTGTGGGGTCGCTTGTTAATCTCGGTGAGTGAACTTGGTCCTCTACACTCAAATAAAGTCCAAATGTAGGATTGTGCTAAGACTAGTATTCCTGGAAACATATAGCCCGCATTTGGATACCACAGAAAAACGGCAAGCGGTCGCGTGTCGTGAAAGGGAGTCGGAAACTGTACGGTAGCTAGTAACGTGAAGTGAATGTAATATTAATTTTATTACTTTTAATAATAATAGCTCTTTTAATCCGAATTTGATGCTACATCGGGAAACGGACAAAAACTAGGTGAGCAGTTCTCATAAAAGTAAAAGTTACACCACTGGTAAATGTTGTTTTACATTGAGACAAACTTGGGAACTTCTCTTCCTGTGAAACTACAAAAATGAGGAATACGACTAATGTTTGTTTAATTATTCTGTCGTTTCTAAGAGAACTGTAAGTTTTCAAGTTGAACTGTTCTGTTCAATGAATGCATCGCTAAAGTGAACCTTATTTTTTCGCCCTTAGAGGTCGTTACTCGTCTATCTGAGGTTTGCTGTCAACAGGTTGTTGATGATGGAGCGCTTCCTGTTATTTTTAAAGTTCTCAAGAAATGTAATCGTAGTCTGCCACACTTGGAAGTCATCAAGTACTCGGTGTTAATACTCTACAATGTTGTAAAGGTAGGCAAATTTGTCTTTGTCATGTTGACTTATTTCCTCTCTTCACATTGCACAATACTGGAATAAAAAAAATGTCTTCAAACCAGCTCCCATTTGTTATAGAGGTTCTTGCCTCTCGCGGATATTTTACTTTGACGTGGATTAGCTCTTTTCCCATTCGTTGACATAGTCGAAATGGTAAAGAAAAAAATTTTTCCACCTACGTATGTTTTAAATGGTGGGGATCACACCAATGATTAGAGAGAGACCATTACTACCTCTTCAATTTCTTCCCGTGCGCTGAGATTAGTCAAGGCAAACAAAAAAGGAGTGACACAATGCGCTAGAATTGTATTATCAATAGAGAGTGAAAGGTGCAAAAGGTTGGATCTTGATAAGTAAGGTCGTTAGTTCGGGGTGGAAATTGACTCACCTTAATTATTTTTTTTATTAATTAACATATTTATTTATCATTTCTTTAGTATCCATCCCTGTTCCGTGCCGTTTATGAGGAACAGGATTCTATCGACACTCTGGTTCATTTGCTGGTGAATCTCAGGGACAAGAGTTTTATTTTCTCCAAAACCTGCTGCCTTCTCGTCGTACTTTGCAGCTACTCGTCCATTGTCCAGGACATTCGCAACATGCAGAAAATAACTGAAGATATCAAAGGTGTCCATAGCATAACTGAACGAAACCACAAACTTGAAACAAAGCGGAACGTGATGAAATCCAAAGTAGACAAGACCATGAACCAGTTACCCCCACCAACTCCTTGTAAACACACTCCTTTCAAGGGAAAGAAATCCCATAAGGTCAAATGGCAGAATCGACTGGACCTAGTCCAGGATCCTTTGGAAGCTGTGAGACTACTCGTGCGGAAACTGGATCTAGTTAAGACTGATGAATGACGCAATCATTTGAAGTTACATACGTTAGTGATCGTTACTTGAATGGACAGCTTTAAATATTCTTCGTTCATTTTTATATTATACATTTTACACGGTATTATTTTTACTATTAACTTCTTACAAACACCATCTGTTTTACTTCATATTCGACCATGAAAGATGGTGATGTATATACGCGAAGGAAAACAATTTTATTAAGAATTTTTGTCATTTTCTCAAATCGCGGAAGGTATTTAGTGTAGATAAGAACAAGAGCAAGTTGTAATGGCCATGAGAAATTACTCTAAATGACCTCTTCAAGTACAGTGAAATAGTCAAACACGGAAAAACTCTCGTAAAATATTGTATATCCGTATTGTTTTTAGCATTTAACGTCAAAAAGGCCCTTTTACTGAGGTCGGTTCTTTCAACTGCAACCACAGCAATCCACCATGTAGCATAATTTTAGTTAGAAAAAGATATTCCAAGACAGGACGTGCAAAAACCGTTCGTGTACAGTACAAAACAAAGGGAAAGTAAAGTTTAAGACAGAATGTCTTTCCAAAACAAGGTCGTGAAAGGTTCTTTGCTTTGTCCTTCGTGTTCCAAAAGTAAACTTCATTCCCGCCAGGGGTACCAGTCAACTTGGGGATCAAAGACGAGGGAGGAACGTGTCCCCAGTCGTCTCTCACTATCTCTCTCTAGCGGCGCGCGGGGTGTGATGGGAAGGAGGAAAGCGAGGGAGAGACTCTTCCTCCCCTTTCCCTTCCCATCACCCCCTGCTCCCGCCACGCGCGTTACACGAAGACGACTGGGGACGAGTCAGCTCCTCTCATAGTAATTCTTAAAAGAATGTGAGGAGTCGAAATTGCATAAGATGAAGACTGCAGCCTCCATGCTTCAAGATAGTTGGAAAAGTAGCGGATCGAGAAAACTAGCACGCGCATCTTTTCCGTTTCGCGTGCCTTTGTTTTCGGCTGTCCTTACTATCTAGGAGCCTGCAAAAGTTTATGTAGATTGCAACGTTCCTGGAGAAAAGGACAAGAGACTGACAAACGATTGGAAAGTTTATAGATGTCACTGTGAAACTTCATATTTTTGAAAGTACAAGCACAGCAGTGAAAAAAACACTCCTTTTCTCCATAATCTATCTTACTCCTTGATTCTCATTATTCGTAATTCGTTTTCTTCTTGACCACAGCCAGCAGGTCACCGTTAGTCTTAATAGTTATTCTATAATCTTTCTCGTATGAAGGTAGCCCATAACAGCCACGCATCTCCGGTTTGGCTATGTCTTCTTGGATTTCTTCGTTTTCGATTTATTCTTGGGTACTTTACTGGCTGTTTTGTCTTCTTTTTCGCAGCTTGTTTTCAGTTTCTTTGTCGATTTATCCTTCTTTGGTTCCTGCCAAGAGCCAAAATGAAAACAGCGCTAAATTGTACCATTATACAAATTAAGGGAAAATACCCGAACTTTCGGGTGGGGTGTGCAAATAATATACTTGCTAGAGTCACCGGTGCTGGAGTAGACTTCAACAAAAACTGAAAAGCAGGGAAAGCGTTAAGCGAGATTTCAGTAATTATTTTTTATAGATCCCTGACTGCAGTCACGAATATACAATGTCAGAGCACTGGAGATTTCTCTAGGAGTATTAATCGCAGGCGAATTTGGTGTCTTAGTCGGGTATTTTCAAGATAGTTTTTTTTCTAAGCGGTTCACTTGCCATGGCTCTTAAAATGCCACCTGACAAAAAAGTTAAGAATGCACTTAAGAGTTAATGCTGCCCCTACTTTTTACCTTTATCGTCCTTTTAACAGTATCCTGGTTTTTTGTTTCATAAACCTCATCTTCCTCTGTTGAGAACAATAAACGATTGATTAGAACTATTTTCACGTAACAGTCGCCACATCAAATGTTAAGCACTCTTAGATTCAC